AAATAATTTAAAGTATGGCTGCAACCCTTTGAAGCTCAGCGTGAATGTAAAAGTCCTTTTAAGTCAACAGGAAGGCAGATGAGAAGTGAAACTGCAGATGGGATTCAGTTCCCTCTGTGACATTTCAATCGAGTACTCCTGACAGCAAAGGTGTGCTGTCACAGGACAACAGAACCTAACAAAGACAAGATAGAAGGAAAACATCCTGAAGGAAAAGAGCCATGCTGGGACCCGGATAAGGAGGGCAGGGGAGGCTGATCACAGAACACTGTGCCTAACATGAGGCTTCTTCCTCCAGAGTTCCGAATGCGGCTCACAGGGAGCTCTGCAGATGAAACTTAAGCACTTTGTGATTGTTCCTTCTTTTGTTGAGCTCAGAACACAGTAAGACCTCATCAGGGACACCGGGAATCCCCAGGAAAAAGCACCACATGCAAGTCTGAAAATAAGAAAGGAAAGCAAAGCCCATGAACACCAGAGAGGGGTTGATCTACTAAGTAATCAACTGTAGACAAACAGGAAATAACACTGAACTGTCCCTTCATCACCTAAACACAAGAGCCAGAGGATAGGAACAGGCCTTAAGACAAAATGGGCATTAATGGAATATTAGGAGAGTGTGCAGTACCTGGTGTAACTAGTACAGTTAACTCTGTGGTTTGCCAGCAAGTTACAGAAAGATTTGAGAACTCCATAACTGAACTGTTCCATACATAGTCAAGTGCATTTCTTGGACACAGTTAAAATCCTTGCATGTCAACTATTTTTATGTTTAGCCAGAAATGTCTTCAACAAAGTCAGGAGTAACTCATTTCTGGACTACTACAGTTAGGGATGCCTAAAAGATCTCAAACTCAGGTAATTGACTTGTGCAGTTCGGCAACTAGTTTCCCATGCTTTTAAAAATCCACCAGAAGAGATTTCTAGCTAATCCATCACTAGGTAGACCCACAGAAACGATCAGATCGCAGTTTCTGTGGGATAAGGACACTGTAGTGGTCTCAGTGTAGCTAGGTCAGGCAAGTGCATGTCTTCTGAGCCCCATTCCTCAGCTGCGCACAGGAAAGCCAATTTCTGCACAGAGCTTTGGAGAATCAGGAAATGGGCTGCACCTTCCCACCCTTTCCTGCACTTCAGCTGACACAATGGAGCCGGAAACGAGAGGAACTTCACCGGTTGCCAGGATCATGCAAAAAAACCATCTGTTGAGCCACCTCCTGCAGCATGTACTGACTGAAAGCTGAGATTCAAAATCAGCCATGGTGCGTATCACTCATGTCCACTCTAAACAATTAATTTCTTTGCCAGGGTGCCCTGTTAATATCCAGAAAGGTTTCAGATTCTCCCCGTCTGCTATGATTATAATTTTGGCTGACAGCTGAAATTTACTGTAGAAAGAAATAACATCAGAATGAAAGAAATGTCTTGTCACACATCACAGGTATTTACACTCCTTACACAACGTGGCCCCATGACTCCTTCACTCTGCCATTCCTTCCTGAAAGTGGCCAAGCATTCCTACGCCAACCGAGGGTAAGCATGGTAATCCCAGCAGAAAGAGTGTGTGTCTTTGCACATGGCAGAAGCAGGCCTCCTGACACAATCCTAACAGGATTAGCCAGTCATGCTCACCAACAGTCCCCCTGCCACCTTCTGGTATTGCGAGTCTGAAACATCCTGACTTCAGAACAATATAATGATAAAGATATAATGGCTTTATAATGCAAGAAATAAAAAGACTGCAATCCTGACACCTACTACAGCAATAAGTGCTCAAGTTTACTGTAAGGACAATACTATCCATGGCTTCTGCCAAACAAACTTAATTATGGATGAGCAGCTTCAATATTTGAAAGTTAAAACCAGAATGCTGGCATTCTTAAGCGAGGATTTGGTGCGTTTCCAAGCCCTCAGCAGTATCTCTAGTGTAGAACACATTGTATAAATCAGCTACCAAATTCTTACTTATTCATCTGTCTTCATGCGCATCAGCATTGCGATTGTGACTGGTGAAATGGCGCTTTGTTACTTCAACAACCAGGCTGACGACGAGCCAAAGGAGGATCTTCAGTCTCTGCAGACAGGCACTCCAGCCTGTCTCACGCCGGCCTGGCTCTCACTGACAAGGGCCCCCATCTCTCCGCACCCCTGCGAGACATCTCCGGCTCTGCGGGCCCCTCCTGCCTTAGTGCCATCTCCTCCAGTCTCCAGCCTGGGCCGGCGCCAGGGGAACACAGCAGGCTCAGGCGGGGGAGACCGGCTCTGTGCTCACACGCAGAAAGCTCGAACGGGCCCAGAATAACACACACAGGGCTGCTGAAGGCACCGAACAATCACTGAACTACAGAGCCTATCTCCAGGCTTTACACGCAGTGGTGAGTTAATGATCAATTGCTTCCAAAAAACAAGTATATCAAGGGCCTGTGACTCCCCCGGGGCATTCAGATCTTTGTTCCAAAAAAATCCTGAAATTTCAGTTAAACAAGTCACCCTGTAGTTACAATATCTATGTAGGCTTTAAAAATCACTCAGTTAGCAATAAAAAGACCTATAAGTGGTCAAGGGCTCCCCAGAGCTTCTCTAAACGTAACCCAGAGGACAGAAGTGGAAACTACCGGGAAGTGCGTTTGAAATCAAGATCAGGTGGCACGCCTTTACCTAAAGTGTGGTGGAAGGGAAGGTGGGAGCCATGTTGTTGAAGATGATATCCTGTTTTTTTTTTCAGGAGATGGCTAGATGAGATCCTCAGATAAATTAACTACTATGTACCAAACAGGTTCTCTCCAACGGAACCTCTCTCACGTACTTGACTCCGAAGGCCGGAGAGGGCCTCCTGTGGATGGATCCCTGGCCACCTCTCTCCCGCCTTGAGAAGGGAAATCCCAGAGTGCTGTCAAACACAGTGCTCACTTGTTGCTCAGAAAACCAGTTTGGCATGCCTCGCCCCGCCTCCCCCATCCATCAGGAACACAGAGCAACACCTTCCCTGCCAGGAGCGCCACCCCGCTGGCAGGCAGATCGACGGCAAACACACAAGGGAACCAGTCTCCCGGCAAACAGCCCTGGAGTCACGGCTGTCTGGATCAAAGCACCTGCTCTAGACCCACTCCAAGAGCGAACAGGTACAGCAGGGCCACCTTCACAGAGGAGAGACAGCCCACAGCACAGCTTCATTTAACTGAGGAGAAGCTGGTTACAGGGTCCTACATCATCTGCACAGGAAAGAGATATTTCAGGGGCAGAGTGGTGAATCACAAACACAGCGAAGGGCACCCCAAGTCTCGGGGCATCACAGTCCAGAGCACAGAGTGTCCTGTATCTGCCTGAATCGCCAGTTATGCCTGCTGACTCAATCTAAATCCTAAGAAATAAATCAGATGTCCCCTTGAGATGGCTAGCTAGCTAGAAAACAGAACACATCCGAAAACATGTATGCGTTTTAACAACTCCTCGATCTAATCCTGCCACATTGTATTCTAAACCTGAATTCAAATGTAGTTACCAGCACCACAATAAAAATGAAGCACAGTCCTTTACGCCTGTGACATGATGAGTGAGATAACGTGATTACGTATGCCCTTTTGCTAAGCTGTTTACTGGGCACCCGGCCACACAGATTGCTAAACTGCGTTTAAACAGTAGTCATAGTTAGCATTATTCGTTCTGGAGCACGTACGCGCCGTTATGGGTGTTTAGTATGATCTGCATAGCTATAAAAAAGATAAACGTGAGGTCTCGGGGTCTGTCCGGTTTACCACACACGCAGGGAGGGGGGGAGGCAGCCATCCAAGCTTGGCTAATACAGCCAGGCAGAAAAGTACGTTTTTACAGACTTGCTTTCAGCCGCAATGATGGCAAAAATAATAATTACGGGACAAAAACAAACAGTTCATTGACCGTGGTGGAGGACAAGAGTGCCTCTCGTGTGACTGACAATGGCAGGCGAGCAGCAGCAGCAGCAGCACGGGGATTCGCACGAGCTCCATTAAAAACAAGAACAGTTTAAAAGTTTAAATCCACGCGCGCGCACACAAGAAGCCCAACCGACGAGCAGCCGTTTTCGCACCGGTCAGGCGCAGACTCACACCGGCTGTCTCCAACCCCTGATGTCGGAAAGGTCCTAGCGAAGAGCCGGGGCTTATCGGATATCTACAGGAAACTGGATACAATACCCCGCCCCCCCGGTTATTGTTCCCGGGAAACCACCCCGGTCATTCCGGGGTTTTTCGTTTTCCCCCGGCCCAAAAAAAGTACCTGCGCCTCCTCTCTTCTTAATCATGTACAATCCGCAAGTTATTTACAACGACAATACGCTGCCTCCGTTTCAGTTCAGCTGCTGCCACTCCAGAACTACATCTCACATCGCCCTCAGCTCCACGCCTGCCCCTAGCAAAACAGTCCTCGTCTTCGAAAACGAGTTGTTAAATAAATTGTAGCCTCTGCTACAAGCCTTGCGTCCTTGCACACGGGGGATTTTTGCGGCGAGTCTGTATTCAGATACCGTTTCCTCGTTTAATTACAAAACACCAACCGGCTCTTAAAACATTTCAATGAACTGCAACGCCAGAGTTGTGCCGGGCAGTGTTTATTAAAAAAAAAACTCCCTTACTAAACAAAAACAAAAATAAGTTTTATTTCTGTGGCCGTGGTCAGAGCTTTCATTCCCGAGTGATCACTTATCTTTTTAACACGCTACTGTTTCCGAGACGCTCATTATTTAACTACGTTGCGTTTAATCTCCTATGCCATTCAAACGATACCCAAAACCCCGCAGCTGTTGGGGACAAAAACGTCGTGTAAGGAGTCACACGGGCTCAAACCCGAACCAAATTCACACTCCGAACAAAGACGGATCGGCCGCAAACTCCGACGTGACACCAAGCAGCTTGTAAAACTAGCCAGGAACGGGGTCCATCCCTGCACCAGCACCTGATAAACCAGCGAACGAAAACTAGCCTTAAAAAAACACAAACATTTCACGCAACTCTCCTTGATCGTACCTGTTAATCTTGTGAGCGAAAGCCCTGCGCTCGGTGTTGGAAGCTGCCATCCCAGCCGCGATCCATACACGCTGTTTTTTCTCTCTCTCGCTCTTTTCCTTTCTTTTCCCAGATTCGTTTTTCTTTCTCTCTCTCAATTACTGTACATTGTCCTCCCGAGCGACGCCGCTTCCTGATGCCGACGGCGTGACGGGCTGCCCCCTAGCCGGGGCCGGGGGGAACTGCAGCCTGTGGGAGGGAGCGACCAGTCTCCTCTCTCTCCTGTGCTCACTCACACGGGACAGCTCCCAGACTTGGGATACGTCACGCTCATGTCTGATTGTCACATTTCCCAGAGCTTTTCTGTGCCTCCAAGCAGCTATGTCTTACACGCACGAAGAAATAAATACAAAAAAAAAAACATGTAAGCGGTAATTATATAGACATTACGTATTATACAAAAGCCATCCGCCCATACAGCGGCACTGCGCAGCACTCCTACATGAATCCGCACAGATCATCAGAACCTGTACATTTACTCCCCCACAGACACCCCAAACGTCTATGATCGCACGATACCCCCTCGTGTTTGCACAGAACCACTAATTGCACCTGTCCTCCTTTACCGTGAGCTCATGCATTGAGTAGTTTGATTAACTACTTCTCACTTTGTTGCGCCTGCATTGAGAGTCTTTGAAACGTCTATCTGAAGGCGTCAGCTGGTGGTGTTCGAGATCCCCAATGGTACGAGATAGGCACCGCAGCACAAGTAGGGCTCACTCAGTCTTACAGGCTCTTGCACAGAAGAGGACCCCGCAGCGTGGTCGCGAAAAGAGAATGGCTGCTTGCGGGGGAATTACAAGAAGGCCAGCGTCGCTCCAGCAGCCTAGCAAAATAAGCGTCTCCGAACTGCTCCTCCAAAAAACAATACCATTCTGTTGAATGGGTTCCTGGGCACTTCTTAAAGTGCATACACAATGTTGTCACTTCTGAGGAAACTGCGCACCGATAGAGCCTGTGAAACGGGACCGCGCACAGCTCTGCTCAGGACTTCGCCGGTTCTGGGTGCGTGTGAAACGAAACAAAATGGGGGCTGTATTTTCTCACTTGAGACGAGGGTATTCGCCTGCCTTTGAACGAGTAAACAAAAACATTTCGTGAAAACCACTTAGAGAAGAAATTACCTGGATCTGGCGTGGATCACGGCGGCCCGGCAGGGGTCAGGGCTCCTGTATATGGGGGTCTTGGGGTTCAAATCCTGAGAGGGGGTATCGCTCAGATCACTCCGATGAAACGCCCTGCCGCAGATAAATATATACAGATACACAACATACGTGTTTTTAAATATCGACCAATTAATAATAACTCAGGCATTTAGCGCCCATTCAAGCAGTATGCGTGAGGCGATAGTCCAGCACTACAGTATTAAGATTTAAGGCGTTATCTGCTCATTTTAGTGAAACTTTTCAAACTTCAGACTGGTTTTCCATTTCCCAACAAATCGATACCGGGGAAAGTCGGGCTATGTCTCCCCTTTCCAGCAGCGAAGGGGACGGTATCATTCTCACGTTCTTTTTTTCTGGGGTGGGGGTTTTTATTTATTTTTTCTTACGCGCATTGCTAAAGATTAAATGTTTGAAAAAAGAAGAAACCGGCTTACTTTCGCCTTTACTGGTAACGGACTCTGGGTTTAACTGAAGCCCAAGCATCGAGTTTTGACTTCGAAGCCCGGTGAATGTCGTCAGATAGCAACAGGAGTCCATTCATGACAAAAGTTCCTGTGAGAAAGATTTAATGCAGAAATTGAATGCATTGTTTTTTTAAAATATATTTTATTCTGCGATTCCCGCTCGGTTTCAGCAGTTTTTTTTTAACAGCGGGACAGACCTCACTATATCCTCATTCTCCCAGCCCGCCTTCCCGAACGTGCCCGCGCTCCGCCTCCGGGTTCAACGGCTTTCTCGGGAAGTGCATTTGGTGTCTCGCGGCGCCACCTTGCGGTGCGAACGCGCACAGCAGCCGTGAGCACGCCCGGCTGCGCCTTCGCGCGGAGAACCGAACTGTGCGCGATCCGCTGTTCACCTGCCGGGAGTCGTGACAGTGGTGGTGGTGATGAAGATTTTAGTAGTAATACTTCAGGAACGGTTAACGTGAACTCAATCAGGACGGTGCAGCTGGAGGTCGCAAATCTCTCACAGACCTACACATCATGTCCCAAGACCAAAGGCTTTGGGGAAGAAAAGGTCTCCCTTTGTTGTTGGGTTTTTCAAACTGTACGGCTTGGTCACAAGACTAGGTAATGAAACAAAAACTCAGGGAAACACCGGAAATCACAGACACTCTTTTACTTTAAATGGCCGTATTACAGAGATAGCATCCAGATGCCACTGTGGGATGTGCTGTAGATTACACCGCTACACCCCCTCCCGCAGTTCAGTTAGACAGTTAACAGCAAACCGAAGAGTGCCAACAGAGGACCGTCCACCTTGACATGAGGCAGCACAGCATACGGGTATCCATTCATCCATTTTCTTTGTCCGAGTCAGGGTCACAGGGGAGCCTATCCCACCAAGCAACGGGCATAAGGTAAGACGGGGCTCCTGTCCATCACAGGACGGACACACGGGCACAGGCAGTCACACACCAGTTTCCCCAGAAGCCCATTGACCTTCCAGCTTGTCTTTGGACTGTGGGAAGCCATCAGAGCACCTGAAAGAAACCCGCACAGAACCTGGGAGAACATACAAATTCCAGACAGACAGCACCCCAGGAACTGAGCTCTGTGCTCACCACTGCACCCCTGTGTCTCCAAGGACTGAAAATATCTTGTAACATTCAACGTGTACCCGTAGGACGAGGGAGAACACAATTCCTAGCGGAAAACAGAGCAGAGGCCAGCTCCTCAGTGTCCAAGGAAGTACCTGAAGTCCAAGGAAGCTCTCTGGCACTCTGACAGGCTGTCCAGCCCACGAGAACTTGGTTATCTCTTAGGAGGAATGGGAACAGCAGTGGGTTGAAATCTCAGTGGAGTCCACTCCGGAGTCCCACGGCCCACGCAGTCTACGATGTATCGCAGGACTGCTCGGCTGCTCGACTCTGTCAGGCTGTCGCTCCCCGGCGGCGCCGCCAGATGGCGACCTTGATCAGCGTCTCCGTGTACAACCGCTTCGCGCAATGTGTGCAACTTGGGAGCTCTGCTCTTGCTGTACTCGGAAATCAGCTCAGGGAAAAGACGTTTTTCCACCAAAATAGCAGCGCCGTATTCCAAAGAAAACGTCTTGCGGGACAGAGACAATTAACATACAGCATTGTGATTAAATTAGAATTATTCACTAAGACACACATACTAATTTTGAATGCTGCTATACTGTATCAAGTCTCATAATGTTTATAGAAGATGCAAAGAACCACCTGCATTACATTTTGTTCATTTTTAAGTTGTAATCAGTGCAATAATAAGATATGAAATTCAAACCATGGCTGGCCCTGGTGTGTGTGTTTGTGTCTGAGAGCTCTGTGATAGACTGGGGTCCAGTCCAGGGTGTGTGTGAGTGTGTGTCTGTGTGCCCTATGATGGACTGGCATGTACTGCTCCAGCCTTATATCCCATATCTTTTTCATATGGTTTTTGGATGTTGTTTTCATTGTCTTTACAATCCAGATGTCAATGTTTGGATAGAAGGATGAGGTGTGGTATTGCTTACATCAATATTAACCTGATCTTGTGTTTCACCCCCTCTCCCACCACCCCCCTACTACTCTTCCAAAGCGGTCCCAGAATTCTTGGGAAGGGGCCCAGCTCAGACAGCCTCAGCCTGACCTTCTGCAGATATACTGCTCAGGGGACCCAGCGTCAAAACAGGGGGGATCAAATGCAACAGCTGTTTTTCTCCGACCGCTGAGCCACTACACAGCACACGCATGAATAATGACTATATTTTTAACAACAATTTGGTCACAAGCCCAAACTTCTCAAGCCTTCTGTTTAGCCTGTGACAGAGAAGAGTGTGCACCGTGTTCCGTCTCGGGCACCCGTCCCGATCCCATGTCCCCCTCCCGCTGCTCCTGCTGCTGGGACGGAGCTCTGTGGCCATCTTCGGACACCACGGACCGCAGCAGGGAATGCAGCGCCCAGGCGTTGTTTTTTCTCCATAAGTGTAAAGGAGCTGGAGACAGCAGAGGGGAGTCTGAGAATGACACTGGCTCAGAGGCTTGACTTCAATTTGAAGAACAGCTGGAATGTTTAAGAGGAAGAAACCATCCATTACCCCCCCCCGACAGGAAAACAAGGACATTATTCATGCAGAACTTGTTTTTTCTATTTGACATTTTATTTATCGGTGGTAATCAGCAGCAGAACTGTATCTAATTAAAATAGCTTACTTCGCTTGATTGCACTATTGGATTAGTAACATTATAAATAATACATATGAACACCAGTGCATAAAGTCTGATCCAATTCAAGTGCTTTTAACCATCAGAAAGCCAGCCTGAATAACTAACAATTATTCTGTGCACCTGTACTCTTAAACCATTAACATATGGGCCAACATGTAGATTCCCTGATGCTTTCTAGAAAGATGGAGTCCAGAGGGCCTCTTTTCATATTACCATTCAGTAAGAATATTTCATACTTTGAACATCTTTACCGCCACACTCAGTCTATAGACATTTTTTCTAATAAGAAAAGAGCATAATTACGTTGTAAAATGTGACTTTAATCTTTCAGGACGCGCATTCCAGAGGCCCCTCCAGGCAGTTTAAATGTTTCCCTTTAATTCTGAAATGTTGGGAGTTTGTTTTTTCGTTTTAAGAAAATTGAAGAAATTAAGCGTGAAGGGTAATGCTTTACGGATAGGGCTCAGAGCACTTTGGAAAAGAATAATAATGATAAAAAGACCAGCATTTTTCTCTTAGCAACAATGCCGCGTGTTGCGAGACTGCTCTGGGCTGTGAGCATAATCTTCAGAACATTTACCATGGTGCTTTCACAGCTGTCCCACATTTGGACCCTGCTTCTAGAACGCATTTATTTCACACTGTTGTGGGCTCCTAGCACATATCTCCTGTGGTCTACGACTAAAGTCCAGGTGGGCTGACGGCAGCCAAGATCGGTTTGCCTCACCTATCCTGACTCGTTATCATTTCTGAGTTCATTTCCTAAATTTAAGAAAACGAAAACAATACTGAAATACTGCACGCGAGCAACGCCTCCTCTGCTCCACCTCCGCCTGGGTCACTCCTCACTCAGCCAAGGGGGTCGAGCCAAATCTGCTGTGACTAAATACTCAACAAGCATTTTTCAATACATTTCATAATTAATCATAATCATTCCTTACAGTTGTATATACCGTGTTTCTGGACACGCCACTCAAGCTCTTTACAGCTAATTCCACCACCACCAGTGTGCAGCCCCACCTGGACGATGCGATGGCAGCCATAGTGCGCCAGTACTCTCACCACACACCAACTATCAGTGGGGAGGAGAACAGAGTGATGAAGCCAATTCATAGATGGGAATTATTAGGAGGCCATGATTGGTAAAGGCCAGTGGGGGAAATTTGGCCTGAACACCAGGGTAACAACCCTACTCTTTCGAGACACACCCTGGGTTTTTTAACGACCACAGAGATTTAGGACTCTTGTTTTTAAGTATATGGTCCCCATCATTATACTGGGTTATGAGGACCAACACAGGCCACAGGGTGAGCTCCCCCTGCTGGCCCCACTAACACCTCTTCCAGCAGCAGATTTAGTTTTTCCCAGGAGGTCTCCCACCCAGGTACACACGTGCTGCGCTTCAGTGAGCTGCCAGTTGTGAGCTGCAGGATGATACAGCTGCCGGCATAATAATTTAGTTGTCAGGTGTTGCCATTCCTTGTGAATGTGAGATTCTACCATGGTTACACTGTACCTGACCGGGGACACGCGGCAGTGAACCCAGACTCCCAGGAGCTGAAAGCCGAGGGAGGAGGGGGGGTGACGATGCAGGGACACTCCCAGGGTCGGGCCTGGTGGATATGGCTCCCATGAGCCTGCAGCAGGAAGGGGAGGGCTGGCCTGTAGCAGCAATGCAGTCCTGGAGCAGGCAGGCTGGTGCTCTGCGGCAGTGCTACAGCCCCGCTGCCCGCCTCCCCTCCCCAGCAGGCCGTTTTGGTATTCAGAGCGTGGCGCCGGCTGCCGCACACATTGTCCTCTCTGCCTCTTTCCCCCCTTATCTGCCGCTCTGCAGCCTGGCACACGGCACCTCGGAGGGGATTAGGCAGGCGACGAGGCTCGAGTCCATGAGCGCTCACTCACACATCCTCCCTCTTTCTCCGCGCTGGCGTCGTGCTGCAGGGGAAGGGACGCTGCAGAGAGCCGGGCGGTCTCGATCCCCTCACGGTGAGGTTGTCGCATCCTGGGGCAGGCCGGAGAGGGCAGTAAGAGCAGCGAGCACAGGGGCAGACCAGGGCAGAGAGGCCAGCCCTGGCGAACTGAGACGCCAAGCCTGGGCCCTCTCACCTGCGGGGATGGCTTAGACTGGGCCAGAGGTCTGAAGAGGGGCCAGATTTGTTTTTAACAGGCTTTATTTTTTTTTTTTTTAAAGAGCGAGGAACTTTATTCTATTCTATCTATGCCTTCGGCTGCCCGGGCTCTGCAATGTCTTCCTCACTGCCATTTGCGGTGAAAAGACGAAAGACGAGCCCGTTGTCGGCTCAGAACCACTGCGCCACAGAAGCATTCGTGCAGTGCTAAAATTAGCAGGCGGCAAATGGCTCTGTGTGCGTGTGTGTCATCTGTTTTCGCTCTGTCTCAAGCATCATAGAGAATACTTAAGATGAGAATTCAAGTTTAAGCCAGCACTGGAGTTTTGCAGATTAAATTATCAGAAGGATGCTTAAAAATAGAAAACGATGAAATTGAAGAAAGTGCTGCGTCTCACGGAGGATTATATAAAAGTAAGCCGGATCTCAGAACCGCTCCGCTGGTAGGGAGCTGTGATAA